ACAAAGGTCCACATAGTCAAAGCTATGGTTTTTCCAGTAGCGATGTATGGAAGTGAGAGCTGGACCATAAAGAAGGCTGACTGCCGAAGAATTGATGCTTTCAAATTGTGGTGCTGCAGGAGACTCTTAAGAGTCCCCTGGACTGCAAGGAGAACAAACCTATCCATTCTAAAGGAAATCAACCCTGAGTGCTCACTGGAAGGACAGATCCTGGAGCTGAGGCTCCAATACTTTGGCCATCTCATGAGAAGAGAAGACTCCTTGGAAAAGACCTTGAAGTTGGGAAAGTGTGAAGGCAAGAGGAGAAGGGGACGACAGAGGATGAGATGGCTGGACAGTGTCTGCGAAGAAACCAACATGAATTTGACACAACTCTGGGAGGCAGTGGAAGACAGGAGGGCCTGGCGTTCTCTGGTCCATGGGGTCACGAAGAGTCGGACATGACTTAACGATTAAACAACAACAAAGGGTGCCCTTCCCCCTCTGGCACCCATCCCTAAAGACTAAAATTATAATTGTGTGCCCTCAAGAGAATTCTGACTTCTGGAGACCCTTTTCAGGGTTTTCTAGGGCACGAGTGCTCAGAAGTTGTTTCCCATTCCCTCCTTTTGAGGCCATCCTAGGTCTGTCCAGCTTGCCCAAGGACACACAGGATGGCTCTTCTGGGATGCCCCCCCCCCAAATTGTGGCTTTGCAGCAGATACCTGACTGAGGTATAGTGCCAGCTAAGAACTTTGTTGTTCTGTGCTGTCAAGTCAGAGCTGACTTAAATACCCCTTAAATGGGGTATTTAAGGAAATCCAGATGCAAAAACAGGCGATGCCTTTATAAACTACTAAAAAAATAATCACACAATAAATCCAGCTTTTGTAGATTAAAACCACTTCATCAGGATTGTACCAGTGTGAAGAACTTAAAGTCCAAAACTTCAAAGGCCGAAAGTACACGCAATATGTTTTTTTTGGGGGGGGGCAGGAAATACCCATTTGATACTTAAGAACTGATTTTACCAGTTCCACTCCCCCCAGTGAGTTTCCATAGCTGAGTGGGGATTTGAACCCACGTGTCCTGTGGCTTAGTCTATCTGCTACACCACACTAAATACAAGAAAAAAAACACATCCACCTCTTAAAATAGATGGACCTTTGGGAAAGACTACCCTCCCCTTCAACATATGGAGCACTTAGTAGCGTACAGAGTGGAGTTGGCAGAACTCAAGTCCACCTCAGAAAATGGAGGGGGTGTGTCCCCCCACAGACACAGCCCTTTCGCAAGAACAGGCAGCTTCATACCTATGTCAGTGTCACACTCTGTTCCCCCTCAACCAGTACAATGGAAGAGGTGGTATCAGGTGCCCCACCCAGATGCTCCTGACGTCTCCCGTTATTGGGCAAATGGTACCAGATGTATTTATTTATTTTTTAATTTTTATTTTCCTTATAAAGGTAGGGTAAGGTAAGGGGCAGCTGGGATAGGGGTACCCTCAGAGGGAGTGGATTTGAATGGATACATTACAAATCAGTATTTTTCATAGTAATTCTATACATTCTCTTCTAGAAATAGTTCCACATACAGTGGTGCCTCACTTAACGATTACCTCGTTAAATGATGAATCTGCTTGAAAATGAGGTTTTTGGGATCGCAAAACAATGTTTTAATGGGAGAAAATCACTTTATGATGATCGATTCCCTGCTTTGGGAACCAATTTTTCGCTTAACGATGGTTTAAAAACAGCTGATCAGCGGCTCTCAAAATGGCTGCCCGTTGTGCAAAATGGCTCCTTGCTGTTTTTAGGACAGATTTTTCACAAGACAGGCACCGGAAAATGGCTGCCCTATGGAGGATCTTCGCTGAACAATTAGGTATTTAGCCCATTGGAACGCATTGATTGGTTTTCAATGTGTTTCAATGGGTTTCCCCCCCGCTTGACGATGATTTCGCTCTATAGCGATTTCACTGGAACGGATTAATGTTGTCAAATGAGGCATCACTGTATCAGAAATACAGTGGACCCTCGACTTACAAAGGTCCCTATTTACGGAAATTTCAAGGTACGAAAAGCTCAGGCCGCAAAATTTTGGTTCGACTTGCGGCCGGGGCTTCAACCTATGAAAGGCAGGGGAAAAGCGGAGCGTCTTTTGAACAACGAAGGGGTTTTTGAAGCTCTGGAAGCCGAAAACTGGCAGCGGGGGCGGAGCGGCTTTCGGCTTCCCAGACTGTACAACCCCCTCCGCTGCCCTCTGTCTCCCATCCCCGGTGCCCTCTGCCTTCTGTCCACACAGGGACAAAAGGCAGAGGGCACCAGGGATGGGAGACAGAGGGCGGTGGGTGCAGCTTTGGAAGCCTAGGATTTTTTTTTTTATTGCCTGGAACGGGTTAAATGGTTTTCAATGCATTCCTATGGGAAATGGACCCTTGACCTACGGAATTTTCGACCTGCGGCCACCGTTTCAATAATGGATTAATTCCGTAAGTCAAGGGTCCACTGTATAGACACTGAGCGAGAGGGAAAAATCAAATTCAGATAAACATATTGTTATTCTAATTATTGACTATATAGTTGATAGTCTTTATCCATAATTTATTCTGTCTCTTCTGCAGCTATACAGATAACTATGTATCAGTCCACTATTCTATCTAACTTGTAACCATGTATATAATTGTGACCAAATTTTCCAATCGTCTTTTTTCTTTTTTGCATCTAGCCAATCTGAAGTATGCCCATCGGATATATTTATTAATTGTAAGGTGGTGCTTTTGATGCAACCAAAGAAAGACTTTATTCTTTAAAAGTTTTCTGTGTTTATCCATGCACGTCCAAGAAATCGTTTTGAATAGGACAAAAGGACTCAGAAATCGATTTTTAAAACACAGATTTAAAACGATGCTGACTTGTAGCAGTTTTATCATTTCGAATTGTCTACCCTCCTACCCTCCACCGCCACCCCCTGAGGTCTCCAAAGCTACAAGTTTTTTCCTTTCAGATGGCGGGGAGAAAAGCCCCTCTCCCTGCCGCCAAATGCAGGCGACCCGTGACCCGAAATTCCTAATCCAACTAACGGCAGAAAAGCTGAAGCCAGAAACAAGCGAGATAGAAATGGACAGCAAGGCTGCCAGATGGAGGCAACGTTTTCAGCACCGCTATCCTATAAATACCAAAGAAACAAAACAAAACAAAACAAATACAAAATTTTAAAAATACAAAAACATGTACCATGGAATAAGGTACCAAATAAGGTACTAAAAGAGAAAAAAAGGAATAAGGTACCACATGTTTTTGTCTTTTTTTTTAATGTTGTCTTTTGTTTCTTTGGATTTTGTCTGATAAATTTGCAGAGACTAACACGGCTACTTCTTCCAAAACTGCTATCCTACGGATTCCCCAGCGATTTTTTGGGGGAGGGAACCCCCACGTGGTGGTTCGCCACCCTAAACCCCAAACTGCTTTTCCCACTCCACCCTCCTTCTCTCCCAGCCGTCCTCGGACGCCTCTGGGCCCCGCTGGGGGAGGAGCCAGGCGACGAGAGTTCGTACGCTCTCGCTGACTGACGTCTCGCGTTAAAGCGACGTCACGGGGAGTAGTTCCAAGATGGCTGCGCCCACTGCGAGAGGTCAAGTATTTACGGGGCAGGCATACGTGTGAATGGCCGGATGACTTGGCGCTTTTGGGGTAGAGAAGGCATGGTTGTAAATGCTCGTTCCTCAATCGAGCAAATAAAAAAAAAGAGTGTAAAAGATTGGCAATTCATATATTTGCATGTAACAGTTTCGACACGAAGAAACTATGAGGCCAAACACGTGTCTTGTGTCGAATGCGTGTATTAAACGGGGCAGGGAATCGCCTGAAGTTTGATGTGAAAGAATCTTCGGGTTAAGATTGGCGATTTGCACGTTTTTTTGGTATCCGTGTACATGCGTTCCTTTTCAACCATTTGTTCGCTAAGTAGAAACTGAATCCAATCAGACTTCTAAGATTTCCCTTTTTGGTAGAGATCCATAGGAGCTGCTGCATAGGTTGGACATCTAGAAAAGTGTTCATTGAGTGAAATTTTGAAAAGCATACTGGAGAAACGTTTCAGGTGCCTGTTGGGTGATCTTCTCTAGGTGATACATTCTCCTGTTGTGAAAGCAGGGAAGAATCCAGTAGCAGATTTAAGGCTAATGTAGTTTATTTTGGTATATGCAGCCTGCTTCTTCAGATGCATGTTCAAATTCAACCTTTGTGTCGTAGGTACCTTGCCTATCTTTTATGCATGTTGGGTATTAGGCAACACAAGAAGGAACCATAAAAGTGTCAAAAGCATGGGATAGTTTTTGTTTAGGTTTTAAACAATATGCTGCATCAGAGATTCCACTCGGGAGAGAAACCCTACACATGACGTGTGGAAAGTGTTTCATTTTACATGACTGAGATGCCTTATAGTCCACCCAAGAGAAAAACTATTCAGATCTCACTATTGTAGATATTCCAATAGTAACTTGCTGAGAATCCAGATTTTGTAAACCATCCAATAATCCACACAGAAGAGCATATTTTAATGTAATTAAAGAAATTTAAAGTTAGTTGAAATCTCCAATCAATTGGCCATAATCTGTTAAATTTAATACAAAATTGCATTTGTGTTATTGCTGTGGGATATGTTAAAAGGTTTGATCATTTTTTCTACTACCCTAAGAGATCTAATTTAGCATGTTCTTTTGATTTTTTTTACAGTATTCTTATTCACTGAATCATCTTATTATTCACCTTTTATTGGAAGTTGGGTACCATCATCACTATTTTATCTTGGTGTGGAACAGCTCTAAACAGTGATGTCGTGTTTACTAAGTGGCAGTTTTACATGCCAGAACCCTGTTGGCAATTTTATAAGGTTTGATAGCTTGCCGGGGCTCAATCAGAAGGTACTGCAGCTTGTCTTGGTTGCATGCCTGGTCACATGTCTGATTGCACAATTAAGATGCTCCCTGGTACCTGGATGGTTAGTTGTGGCCTCACATATAGCCTGTAAACAGTTATTCTGTTCAATTTTATATACAGTAGGGACATAAATGAGGTTGCTATTAAGGATGATATTAAGACAACAAATCTGACAAATCCCGCCACACACTTTTTTAGTCTGGGGTATTGAGGACTGCTTGAAAAGATTTTGCACATGTGGAGGCTGGTAGACATAATGTAATTTATCTCTTTGATTGGAATATATGTATTAGAGAAAGTTAATCATGTCCTAGTAACTCTTTTGCCCTAAGATATGTAACGCTTGATTGTATTTATGCCTACAGTGAAGTCTGTACTGTATCTTGGAAGTAGGTGATACAGCCAGAGTGCCATTTGTTTTTGCTCTCTGATTCTCGGAGGACAGGCTGATGTGCCATGAACTGCATGCGGACTTTATTGCTGGCTCAGGAGCTGTCATCTTGGAGGAGTGCTGTTCCACTACAGGCTGCTTCTAAAAGGAATCTCCTGCGACAATGGAGAAAGAACTGTCTCCAGGTAAAAATGTTTCTGGACAGTTCCCTTTATTGCCCCTGAGACTAATTAACAATGTGGCTAAACTTCAGATTCTTAGACTTCTATGCCTACTGGTTCAGTCTAAATCTCTGCTGGTGGCTTGTATGCTTCAGACTTGGGCTGAAATCTTTTGGTGACTTGGAGGCATCAACAGGCGCTACCCAGCTGCTGTTCTCACTGTTGCAGCAGCTGCCATCCGGTCCCACACTTTTTCATACTGAGGATGGTGCAGGAGTGATTGGGTGACATGGCCTCTCAGAACCTAGGAGTGCCACCAGATTGTTTTGCTGTAGCAGCAAATATGGTCTGAAGGTTAAAATCAAGCTGTGGGGAGCAGGGTGTGGGTGGATGGCTGGAGGGAGTAGATAGTCTTGTGTTGGATGGCCTACAGGGTATAATTGGATGTTCCTCCAGCTTTGTCTTGTCCTTTGTCTGTTTCTCTCCCTTAGAATTCCAGGCTGGCTCCTGTAAGGAGCATCCATCAGAGTGCAGAGCTTGGCACTGCCAAACTTCCTGTTCAACGTGACCCAAAGCATAGTAAAGAATCCACTACTCGAGCCTTGGAGCCTGTGGAGAATGTATTTGAAAGAGCTTCTAAAGATGGAAAGACTAAGGCTGCATTCCAGAAAGCTTTGGAACTCTTCTGCCAGCAGGATGTCCGCCGGAGGGGTCACATAGAATTCATCTATGCAGCTGTAAAGAAGATGCCAGAGTTTGGGGTACAGAAAGACATCAATGTATACAACAAAATCTTGGATGTCTTCCCCAAGGATGTGTTTGTGCCTCGCAATTTCATCCAGAGAATATTCAACCACTACCCACGACAGCAGGAATGTGGTGTCTACGTGCTTGATCAAATGGAAAGCTATGGTAGGCCCATAGAGAGAGCAGAAGCTAATCAGTTCCCAGGGTCTCCTAAGACGTCTTTTCTGTTTTCAAGGGGTTTGTTGAGTGGTACTCAGAGTAAGAAATTTAACCTTGACAATCATAGGGATTAGCTGCAGACCTTGGCCATATTTTTCATGTGTTTTTGGAAGTTCAGGTGTAAACATCATAAAATAGTAATGTGGCTATTGTTTTGTTGGATATTTGATGTAGAAGTGATATAATGCTTGAATGTACATTTTTGTTTACTATGATGAAGAATTTCATGTTATGTTAATTTTATTTTTTATTGTTATGTGCAATACTTCAGTATTTGATTCTAGCTTATAACGGAAAGAAGTAGGGGATATTGTTACATCCCCCCAATACACTTTTTGAACACATTGTTTGCAGTCGCTGAAATATATCTGTGCATTTTTTAAAAGTATGCATTTGTTTTGCATGTTTTTAAAAGCTGCACATAATTTTAAGACCTCAAAATGAAAAGAAAAAAGTATTGTGATATCTTTAAAATTAATGCATTTGCTTCAGTGTGAGTTTTCATGGATTACAGTTCATTTCTTTCAGGCACATAGAGTACAATATGTGGGTCCTAGGTTTATATGCAGTGTTTGTGAGATGGGAACAGGAGCAAAACCAAGTGGATTGTGAAGCAGGCAATGGCAATTGAATATGCCCATTGGAATTTATGGAATTTAACCAATGTCATCTATCTTCTGTCCCAAATAATTCATTGTAATTATTTTTCACCTACACTAGCTACTTTCAGATCAGCAGTAGTGTTCTGCAATGATATTGAAATGATCTGACATTGACTTCTGTCTGTTGCCATTTCAGTTATTAGATTTGTGTCTGTTTATTCTGTTGCGTAGAGGTTGCCCTGTCTCCCTATACAGAGTGCAGGGGGACACTGCTAGCAGGAAATGGCATGTATCACGTTAGAAGATGAACAAGTAAATGTATTTATTTAAAATATTTTTATCCTTCCTTTCTCCTTAAAAAGGATGCAGGGCAGTTTACATAATTAAAAGACAATATTTAAAGCTAAAAAGAGTATCTACCAATACATTAAAAATGTTTGATCCTTTTTAGTATACCACACTACCACACTAAATAACAGTAAACAAAACAACACTAAAGCACATTCAAGGCACTAAGGCACAACAGTCTATTAAAAAAACTGCATCCAGACAGCCAGTCACTCAGGGAAAGCTTGCCTGAAGAGAAAGGTCTTTGCTTGCGGATGGACAGCGAAAATGGGGCCAGTCTGGCCTCCAGGGGGAGGGAGTTCCAGAGTCTGGGAGCAGCAACAGAGAAGATCTTTTCTGTATCCCCACCAAATGTACCTGTGAGGATAGTGGGACCGAGAGAAAGGCTTCTGATGATGATAATACCTGAGTTGGCTCATAAAGGGAGATGTGGTCTTTGAGACAGCTTGGACTAAACATGGGCACGGACTGCAGCTTGGTGGTTCGGCCCAGTTCAGCGCAGGCCCCACACAGGTCTTCTGTGGGCACCGCACACTCTGCTCTCCCACCGCCTCTGTGTCTTCACCTATTCCCTGGAAGATGTGTGCTTCCCTCCTCTGGCAGCTGGCCCATCAGACAAGGAGGTGGGACGGGGAAGCTGTGCTGCTTGCTGAAAGATACATATCATTACTGATGGAATTATGTGTGAATACAAAGCCATCCTTCCGCAATTAACTGTAGTTTTTAATTTTGTCTAAAGAAGTCTTCCAGCTCTCTAGGGGATGTAAGGTATAGTTTTGTCTTGAGCTGTTTTGGACTATCGGGAGCATTTTTAAAACACTTTTCAATAGTAGAAAGGAAAAGAAACAAGCTCAGATGTCAAAAGCATGCTAAAATTGCTAGATTGGCCACTAGAGGGTGAAACCAGCCTTTAGGATTTTTTTGTTTGTTTGTTTTGAATCCCTGTGTAGCTTAAAAGAGCGAGGGCTCTTAGCTGAGTAGAGGTTAAGGCTGTGTCTTCTCCTATATCCCCCAGGTTGGTTTTTTGTTTTAAAATTGATTTTGTGGCAATGTCTGAAGGTGGCATCCAAACTTGATCGTGCACAAGAGGTTGCAAAGGAAATGAGAATTCCTCCGGTTCTGAAGGAAACAATTTCACGAGCAGAACATCATAGTGAAGGCCAATTTAATGCTACATCTTGCATGATAGAAATAGGCAAGAGTTTTTAAAAATCTCCTTGGTTAAAACTGGCTCCCACTGATGGGTTGGGTGATTATAACTCCCAGGCCTAATTCCAATCGTTTGGAATCAAGACTTAATATAAGCTGGATAACGAGAATCCAAATGAATTTCTTCCCACTCCTGACTGGCATGTTCTTCTTTTTGTCCTGAAGGTGTCATGCCGAACAAACAGACACAGTTTCTGCTGCTCCAGATATTTGGGGATGCAAGTCACCCCATAAAAAAGTACCAAAGGATGATGTACTGGATCCCTAAATTCAGACAGCTCAATCCTTACCCAGTCCCAGATCCTCTGCCGGAGGACCCCGTTGACCTTGCGAGGTTGAGCCTGCAGAGGATTGCAGCTGACCTGGATGCCAAGGTTACAGTGTATCAGGTAAATCAAAGAACTTGAAATTCCTAGTGGTACAAGGAGTGGTTTTTCCATGTGCAACTTAAAGTGAATGAGGAACATGTATCTTTCCTTGTCTTGTTCTCATGCATGTGGATTAAAGAGTGAGACTTTTTTTGCTGGTACTGATGAGAGTTTTTGCATTGGCAGACCGGTAGTGTATGCCTTATTGTATTAATCTATTAACTAATATTATAAAAATATCAGAAGCATAGGATGGGTTGTTTGTATCTCTTTGATTAATCAGCTAGTCGTTCTGTGCTTGTTGTATATGCTTTGCTTCACAAATGGAAATGGCATGAGTTTTGTTCAGAGGTAGTTTGCCCAAATTGTGGCAAGCTGAATTGGGGAGGGGGGCAGGAAGCTTCCATGTTTTCTTGTAACATAGGAGGCAAGAAATCTCAGAGGTTTTAGCAGGTTTTTTTTGATATACCATCTCAGTGTGAATCTGTCTTAAGAAGATAGCCTATAAACAAATGCAAATGAGTGTTGCTTTTAGCAGCTGTGCTGGCAGGCCTTGAAGGGGGGAAATTTGGCTGTGTCAAGTCATTCCAGCATTCGCTTATCTTTGAATGAGGTTCCCTCATCCTTCTGCACCAAAGCTTTCATATCCTGTAATAAGAAAGCCTGATTGGGTACGAAGAGGCTGTGTGGAGCAGCATACACACTATTCACAGCAAACCAGAACGTGCCGCAATTTGACGATGCTATAACTGATGAGTTTTTTTAAAAGCTCTTTTATTTAATTGTAGAGGTTTATGTGGAGACTGTTTCTGGGTGGGTAGTTATGTTAGTCAGTGGCATCAAAAAATCAATATGTTTTATTTGACCTATGCTTTTGTTGACTACAGCCCACTTTATCTTAAAATGTGAACCATAGACCATGAACGTTTATGCATAGTAGAATTAGTTGATTTGTAAGATTTTAAAGATAAGACCATCTTGCAGCCAATACATATTAAACCAGGTGTGTCTCAGGTTTTCCCTGTTGCTTATAGAAATCACTTCAATGTATAGTTAGTGCCCTGAAACAACCCCCTCCCACAGCCTGCCTTTAGGCATGCTATATAACCTGCTAAATAGAGGACTGAACCAGAGCAAGGATTGCCCTATGGAGAGGATAGCAAGTGGAGGGAAGGTGGACTTTTGGCCCTCTGACTGCTGTTGGGCCAGAATTATGATCCTCCCTGAGGATTAGATCTGTTAGGTAGGATAACCTGGGACTGGAGTGCAATAGCATCTGGTGGGGTGGAAAGTCCCTGACTACCTGAAACTGGAAGGTCTTACAGAACTAGAAGGTCCCCCTTGCTTCTCCCCTAGTTTGAAACTTTTAAAGTTGATTGATAGTAGATGTGAGCCAGATAGTTAGTATCTTTCTGGATTTGAGCTAGGAGCTTCCCATTAGTTTCTATAGACGGAAAAGAGCAGATACGGATTAAATGGTTTTCAATGCATTCCTATGAGAAATGCAGATTCGACTTACGAACTTTTCGACCTGAGAATCACCTTCCAATACGGATTAAGTTCCTAAGTTGAGACCCCACTATATCTTTCTGGATTTGAGGAGTATTCTTCAGCTGCAGAAGGAAAGTATCCATCAATAACAAAACTGTCTTAACTCTTCAACAGCTGCCTCATGAGGAGATCTTGGACTCTGGTAAACCAATCAGTCACCCGCATATTGTAGGTAATAATCACCTTTGATTGTGTTTCCTTACATTGAATGGCTAATTCCACTAAGAGGAGTACAGGAGGCAGAAATTAGTGTGCAAGGGGGCTACTGTATCCCTCCAGTTGAATGTATGTGTGAAGAATGGGCCACTCTGTCCTACAGGATGTGGATGAAGCCAAGGTCAGCTTCTGATAAGAGTTACTTATTTGCTTCTAGCTATTTCTCTGGTTTTAAAGTGTGTGACATTATGAGGCTAGAAGGCTAATATGATAGCCTCTGCAGAAAGTAGGTGATAAGATTCTTTCCTTATATGCATGCCTGACTTCTCCCTGACTTCACTGTTTCTTACACTTCTCATATCCATCACCTCAACACTTGGAAGGGAGCGCTCCAGATTCCCTAGCTGGCTCAGCATCTGTGCTAACTGGAGGTTTTGGACTAGCCAGAACCCCAGTGGACTTGTGTTCTCTGAGACCTGATGGAGACAGATAACCACGTGTAGGTTTATTGGAGGTTTATTGTATGGATGGTTGTCAGGAATGAGCATAGTATGGGTTAGCAAAAGGAAACATTCAAAGACCCTCACCGGCTGGAGAGTCCCCTGAAATCCAGCTGGCCCTTGCCCTTTTGAGGCCAGGTCCCTCATGGGTGACTAGCTTTCCCTTCCATGGGAGAGGAGCTACCATGACCTGGGTAGCCGAAAGGATTTTTAATCAGCAAGCTCCCCTTCTGAAACTTGCAGGAAGAAATGGAAGACAGCAGCCACTCCTTGCTTCCAGGAGAGAGGGAAACTGTTATGCGCCAATTGGCAGAAACTCCTTCTATAACCAGCATGTTACCCCTTTGACAAAATAAGCCACTCTTAGAAGAACTGAGGATGTGACATGTGATTTCTGCCTATGCCCCTGGCGTCCCACAAAGTTGATGACATGACATTCATAGAATAACGTATAAATGTGTTTCATACTGCTTATCTCCAATATGATGCAGCACTTCTCTTCTCTGACCTCGAAGTAAAACCCAGCTGAACAGTTGTCATGCTGAGAAGACTGAAGTAATAACTTTCAGAATTCCTTCATATTGCAGTACTTTACAAAGGATAGTGGGAGTAATGAGTCAAAAAGGAGTGTAGTAATTTGTGGGAACAGTTTATAACGGATCCGGGCCTTGACATGCTGGAGCCTGTCCCTTGTTCTTTGGTTTCTAAACTCTGCAGGAAGCTTCTTCTGCCTGCTTTACACTTTGCTGAGAAACAAGAAAAACAAGCCATCTAATTAATTGTAGTCTTTTTATAATTTATCTACATAGCAGGTATCCTCCTGGCCTTCCCCACCTCTTTTCTTCATGGCCTTTTTAAAGTTTATAGTGTGATATGACTTAAGAAGTTTATAACTTGTTTTTTTTTCCTGTTTGTCTTCTCTGTCCCTTGTAGGGATTCAGAGCCCTGACCAGCAGTCGCTCTTGGCTCAGCACAATCCAGAAAGGCCTCTTTTTGTTGAAGGCCCCTTCCGCTTATGGCTCAAAAACACTTGTGTTTATTATTATGTTCTCAGGGCACAGCTGCTGCCTCCAGAAGAAAGGGTAAATGATGTGTCTCTCTCTCCACTAAACGGTGCTTCTAGCAACATGCTACATGCTGGAGGGATCCATGAGATCCCTATGCTGGATTATGCTTGAGGTCTGTAGGTGTTTCAATGGAAAAGGAACTTAGTTTGGGAAACTGTAATTTCAGGTGGTGCTAGGTGTCTCTGCAGGGAGATAGCAGTGACTAGATATCGGTATGGCAAAAACTCCTTTGTCTTTTTTTGGACTTCGTGCTGTTTAGAAAGCATTTGAGAAGTAGCTGCAGTAACCCCCATTGATATCTCAAAAGGGTTTCTTCCCTTGGATGCCTAGTCAACTTTAGGGGAGCAGAAGAGAGGGCAGATCAGACTGGACTGGTAGTTTTTTAAGGTGATGGTTTAAATTTTGATATTAGTTAAGAAACCCCTCTAGGAGGTGAGATCAAGCCAGGATACTCAAAAATTTCAAGAAAAAGCAATTTGTCGCAGTTTGCCAAGGGGAGGAATAACCGGGCAGCCTATTATTTATTATGCATTTATTTTATTTGTATGCTGGTTGAGCATTTGGCCTTCTACATGTTGTTGACCTGCAGCTCCCACCAACTTTAGTTACAAGAGCCAGTGATTAGGAACAGTGGAAATTGTAGCTGTACAACAGCTGTGGGATATCTCTGATCTGGAAGCTGTTTACCAAAAACAAGCCCACTGAGAAAATGTTACATAATTCTAGTCCAATTCTACCTACCATCTGTCTTGGTAAATGTGAGGATAGAGTCTCCACTACAAATTCATGGGTACCAGGTATCGGTTTAGCAGAAAAACTAGAGGAAGTGCTACATTTGGGAAGGGAAGGGTTCACCTTACCAGAGTTGAAAAGCGGGAAAAGGGACTTAGCAAGAAAACGTTCAACTAGTGATACAGAAAAGGTAAAGACATGGCAGGTGCTTTGCTTATGTTATAATTATGTTATGCAATAAGTTGATTGCAAGATACAGAAGATGAAGAGAACATCCCTGAGAATTTATGGAGTTCTGAGACAGGCAGTCCAAGAACTTGTGGTCAGCTGGAATTGGCCAGGCCAAGCAATGTGGACAATTCTTTGGACATTTCATACATTCTTGGGAGTGAACTATGCTGTCTCCTTGTTCTGTAGCCAGGCCAAGCAATGTGGACAATTCTTTGGATATTTCATTCTTGGGAGTGAATGATGCTGTCTCCCTGTTCTGTAGTCATGCGTTAAGGCATGTAGTTCCAATGGAGGTGGAAAAGAAGTTGGGAGTTGCTCCTAATGAGAGAGCTTTTGGGGTGATAGAGGAAACACCAGGACTGGTGTTCTCTGATATCAAGTTGGTTAATTACTGTAGAGTAATAATGGTGTTCCTTTCTTTTCTGTTCACAGAAGGAAGAAATAATTGACCCACAGAGGAATTTTTTCTACCCCATGTACCTGGACATTGACCTGGAACGGTTCCATTGGGATGATCTGGAATTTGATATAGATGAAGGTAGTTCCTCTACTTGCCATTTGTGTTGGTTTTGTTTTGTGTTTTATTAGTTAGGCAGCAGAGGGAAGTCAGGTCTAACAAGAAATAATGTGGGCGTTTCCCAGCAGAACGACACTTTCCCAAGAGTTGAAAGGATGTGAGATCTGTCATCCCTTGTCAACTGCCTTCGAGCTTGCCCTACAGACTGTGGGAGGGCCAGGTAGAGGGCCAAAGAAAGAAAGATATGCTAGATATGAAAACTCCCCTGGGAACAAGGGTACTCTGTAGAGCAGTGCTTTCCAACCTTTTTTTGAGTCACAACCCCTTTTATCATAGCCAATTAACCTGTGTCGTCCTCCCAACTAAGTCTGCATAAAAAGGCATTCTTAATAGGGCACAGCCATCCCTTCTCAGAAAGTAAAGGCTTCTTTCTCCCACAAACAGCCTGTTTCTCATACATACATGTACACACTAACTGTAATATCCAGCTTTGAAAGGTCAAGGATGAAATTATTTAACAAGGGCTACAATGCATATAAGGTGACCTGCAAGCCCCCAGAAAACACATTATGACCCCATTTCGGGGGGCCATGAACCCCAGGTTGGGAAACATTGCTGTAGAGGTTGCCCACCTGCCTATCCCTGAGGGCTTTCAAGAAAAGATAGGGCCTCAGAACTTGGATTCTATTCAGTATTCTGCACATTTAGTGCTGCAAGAGGCAGGAGGCCCAAATTGCCTTATTTGGCTTGTTGAGTGCAGGCTCGTTGCTGGGAATCTGGCTAGCCTATCTGAAGTTTTATTTATGGGTTGGTTTGAGGTTTTGCTGTCCCTAAATGATGCTGTTGTGTTTATGGGTTGGTTTGAGGTTTTGCTGTCCTTAAATGATGATTGCTGCTCTTTGTGCTTCCCTTGTAGTTGAGGAAGCCCCTGTGTTTGCCATGTGTATGGCAGGGGCAGGAGACCAGGCCACCTTGGCAAAGTGGATTGTGGGACTCGAGGAGACAAATCCCATATTGAATCAGACCCTGGTGGTGTTCCGGCTTACTCCTGGGCCTCAGGAGCTGCAGCTCAACACTGACTCAGATGATGAAGAGAAAAATGAGAAGACGAGAAGCTCAGACTTTGAAATGAGAATTTGAGGACAAGCTGTTTACATGTTAGCTTTATTGTATAATTTCCTATGTGTACTTTAAAGTCCCATAAAGTGTAATCTTGATTTGGATTCAGCATAGCTTTATTGTATAATTTCCTATGTGTACCTTAAAGTCCCATAAAGTGTCATTATTCTTGATTTGGATTCAGCAGTTTAAGGATAAATCCTGAGTTGATCTGGAAGTGCTGGACATACCTGCTTTTGCAGCTAAGACACTTTTTTCTGAGTTGTGGTAGCAGTACAGGTATTGATAATTGAGAGATGGAGTTGGCACCTTTGCTGTAACAGCACTTAAAGAGTTGTTAATGCTGCTCTCCTTTCAGCCAGTTCTTTGCAGTTAAACTTTTGAAAAGAATGCTGAAGTTTAAAATTCTCTTTGTTTCCCCTTCTTCAGTATGTCCCCTCACACATGCCATTAGTTCTGTCATTTTTAGTAACACCCTTTAAAGTAGAGGAGCCTTCATTATATAGTAATTAATATCTCTGTTTCTTGATCATTGTCGTCCTTGCTCTCAAGAAAGCAGAGTTTTCTGTTTTCTTGGCTCCGGGCTGGAATCAGGTGTTCTGATGCTCGAGTGGTTTACTAAAAAGTTGATGGGGTGTGAGAAAGCTTGTTGCATGCGTTTCTGATATGTTTATTCCTGTAACTCCACACAGCAAAATGCTGGGTAAATGCTGGAGCATCGGACCTATGCGTAACAGCTCAAGACATAATAAACTTCAAATGTGTTCTGTGTGAGAGAGATTTAATTTAACACTTGAATAGTTATAACTTTAAGTAAACCTCCTGCTTGCGGGCGAAGACCTCTGAAAACTCATATGTTATTTGTAATCATAGATGTATAATTATTAAAATGTTCATGTTTGCATTTTGCATCATAGTTTGATACATCTTTCAGGATAACTGATACTTGGAGATGGTGCTGTAGCTCTGAGATTTGCACAGAGGATACAAAGATTTAAGAGTAGCTGTTGACACTGATGCCTAAACTCAACTTAGGGCAACATTATTGTTTGTGTGTTTGTCTTTCCAAGCAAGGCAGTAACTTAACACTTCCTGGTACATTGGGTTTACGTGGGAAGTGAGCCAAGGTCCTGTTTATTAATTTATTTTCCCCATCACTAATGCTTACCTGCACACACTCTCTAAGCAAAGGCAACAGCTTGAATTATACATGCTAAATAATAGATGGTGAATCTGTTATTTAGCATGTATAATTCAAGTGGCATTTAATTACATATCCCTCGTGCCCTTAATATTTTCAGACTGGCCCATCTCTCCTTGAATTTCTTCATAACAGCAAGAGATACCAATGGCAGACTGTGCTCAGTCAGAATAGAAAGTAAGCACCATACCTGCTGAAAGAACATTCAATAGGTAGAACATTTGATAGGTAGAGGTTGTATATGTTTATATAGTCCTTAGTGAGCATTCTGTATAGTCATTTGAAGCCATCTTATGCAAAAGGAAATTTATATCATAATTGTGCTTAAAATGGCAATATTGGTTGCTGTCCATAAATAACTAGTGGATGCCTGTGCTACTTCCATAGTGTAAATGGGGAATGAATTACTTGTGGAGAAGTATTACATACTCTTATGCATGAGATATATATTGAGTTTATGGGATGTGAAGTAGATTTCAAAACCTGAAAGTCTTGGTGGAACAAGAAAATGTGCATTGATTTATACAACTCAAGGGTGGTAGAATGCATTGGTGGGGAGTGGGGATGAGGCTGCAAAACTGTCCAAGGAAGTTTTCACTTCGGATCAATTACATGTATTATTCTATTTTTTAAACCAAAAGCTTGAAGAAAGTTTCAGAACACCTATTAGGGATTTTCAGGTGATACTTTTAGAAGCTGCTGCAGTGCAAAGAAAGAATAATGGAAGTGCTTAGGGATCAGTGCTTTTAAAAATCTTAAGTAAAAAAGGAGAGCTTCCAAAAGCTGTAATATATGTGTCCTTTGTTTTACCACTCACCAACCTCATCTTCTGTTCACTGGAAAACCCCGCTCCCTTATTGGTTGTTACTACTACTCTTGGAAAAAAGGATATTTGGTCTATTGCTGTGTTATGGTAGGGTTTTTCTAAAGCTGGTATTTCATCCACTTAATAGGTTTTGTTTATAAAGGGTATAATCCACGGAAATGAAATGCCCCTCCCTTCAAGTAATATCACTAGTGAGCTGCTAGATCCACTGTTAGATGCACATCTGAATATGGTGAGGAGGTTAGTGTGTTAGCGAAGTTGAAAGCAATGTCATCAGGAGACTCAGCTACAAATCTAGACTGCTAGTGTGGTCAAGATGGAACGGTCTGTTATGAGAAATAGGCTAAGAAGTGTCCATCTTCTTCAGGAATTAATGGTCACATCAGCAGAAGAGAATTGACAGTTCCAACGGTGAGGAAAGTGTAGAAATTCTACAGAAGAACTACTAGGCAGCAGTAGCAATGGAAAGTGACAATGGCAGAGGATCTTTCACAGACAACAGCAGTGGCACACAACCTAACTTGTTAGTATTGTGCAGAATAAGTAAGTGGTAATCCATTTTCAAAAACATTATCCATCAAAAACCCAATGACGACACTATCCTACACAGAACAAAGACATGGTGCTAGGAAATGACATTCCCAGGTTGGAATAGCAGTTGAGGAAGAACTAAGGTAAGCCTACCTAGCGTTATTGATGAATCAACTGTATTAAAGCCAAAGGGATACTCGCCTGTTGATGTGCAAAGACATAAACAGAAAGTCAAGCTTTATGGCACACTGATTTGGAATTTGGAATGCTAGACATGCGAATCAAAGTAAGCTTGAAACTGGAAGTGTTCCAAAGGCGACAGGGATGAAATATTTTCAGTCAGTTAATTGCAAAGTGATTTACTCTGGAAATCAACTCGAAAGAAACAAGCTGGTTCTAATAGGCGTGATGTAGTACAAGTACTTGTGGGCTATAATGTAATCATAATCAGTCCGTGGAAAGCCTATCAAATAACTTTTATTGCTCAAGTCTATTTTTCCTAATGAAACCTCATCTTCTCATTTAGCTTTGGCCTGTGCTTCTTTTGGTCTTTATATTTGAATTTAATCATACACCTTCAAAGCTCTGAAAATAAAACTGCAGCCTCATTTTCCATTGGGGGAAATTTAGAGGAGAAACCAAAAACATGCCTTGCTGTGCTGAAGATCCATTTTTTCTTTTTCGCTTTCTGAGTAACTCCACTTAGCAAACTCAGAAAAGAAACTCTTTTCAGCCAGTTTATGAGGTGCTTTTGGTTAAAGGCAGGAGTGGGGAGTGGGGGAGAAGAAAAATTGTGAACAATTTGAAAAATTGCAAAGCCTCCCAAATACTTCTTAGCAATGTGTTTGTTTCTCTGGTCTCTAGGCCCATAACCTGTTGCATTTTTGAATTTCTGGTAAAATTCCTTCTCCTCATCAGTAAAAGTACAGTCACTTAAGAGAGTAGAAAAGCTTCAAGTTCTCCAGGTATTCTGCTCTTTCCTCATGTGACTCACATCGAAGAACCCTTCACCACATGTTGATCCTCTTCAATTATAGTACAGTGGGGTCTTGACTTAAGAACGGCTTGAGTTAAGAACATTTTGACTTAAGAATCGCTCTCATAGGAAAATATTGACTTAAGTACTTAGATTTGAGTTAAGAACTGAAAAAAACCCATGTGGTAGGCAGGGAAAGTGCAAAATGTGAACTTTCAGTTAACTGTTGGCCAGTGAAAAGGGTGCCTGTCTGCTTCCTCACTCCTCCCAGTGTTTAGAGAGTGGATTGGGAGTCTTCAGACTGCCTGGTACTGCCTGGACTGTATTTTCCCTGCCTTCCCTGAACCTTTCTTGACCTAAGAAAAAAAAAAGAAACAAAATATCCCCCTCTAGTGGTCGAAGGCAGAATAGCAGCTTCCCATTAGTTTCTATGGACGGAAAAGAGCAGATACGGATCAAATGGTTTTCAGTGCATTCCTATGGGAAATGCAGATTTGACCTGAGAACTTTTTGACTTGAGAACCGCCTTCCAATACGGATTAAGTTCTCAAGTCAAGACCCCACTGTATACTGATAAAGAACTGTAGCTTCCAAACTTATCTTTTGTGTATTAAACCAGCCTCAAAAGGGTTCTAGTGCCTGGCCAAGAACATTTGGCCTGATAGGAATTAGCCTCAAAGCTTACCCAGATTTCGGAGCTCAAAATATAAAGCGGGCGTCTTTTGTTTGTTATTGAGAGATTTGGGCCATCTTTTCAAAATTGTAAAAGCTTGTATATATCTTTTTACAAAAGCTGGGGCTGGGGTTTGAACCTTGTTGTTGTTTAATTATGTCTGACTCTTTGTGACCCCATGGACCAGAGCACGCCAGGCCCTCCTGTCTTCCACTGCCACCTGAAATTGGGTCAAATTCATGTTGGTCCCTTCGATGACACTGTCCAGCCATCCTCTGTCCCCTTTTCCTCTTGTCCTCACACTTTCCCAACATCAGGGTCTTTTCCAGAATCTTCTCTTCTCATGAGATGGCCAAAGTATTGGAGCCTCAGCTTCAGGATCTGTCCTTCCAGTGAGCACTCAGGGTTGAGTTCTTTCAAAATGGATAGGGTTGTTCTCCTTGCAGTCCAGGAGACTCTCAAGAGCCTCCTCCAGCCCCACAATTCAAAAGCATCAATTCTTCGGTGGTCAGCTTTCCTTATGGTCCAGCTCTCTCTTCCATACATCGCTACTGGAAAAACCAGCAGTGATGTATGGAAGTGAGAGCTGGACCATAAGGAAGGGGTTTGAACCTACTTATGGTGAAATCATTAATTTCTCTATCCTTTTTCTTTGGGAAGTTCTTTTTTCTTCAGCATAAGAACACCATAAAATTTCTCCAGAAATTCGGACATCAAAAGGCTCTGACGCAGCTTCGTTCTCTATGGAAGTAACTTTATGGAAGTCGTTCGGCTAGAGAGACCTCCTCCGGCCAAGACCAGGAAATGGAGTGCCTGACGTCACTAGCGTGCGCCGCACGGCGCTCCTAACAACCGGGTTCCTAGAGTGGAGGGTTCCCTGGTAACCAAGCAGGGATGAGCGACTCGGAGCGTGGCCCGGCCCCAGGCGAGGAGGAGGATGGCGGGGAGCCCGAGGAAGAAGGAGAAGAGGAGGAGGAAGAGGAGGAGGAGGAGGCCGGAGCTGGGGATGCAGACGCGGAGCCGCTGCCCGGTGGAAGAAAGGGTCGTGGCGGACGGAAGGCCAGGGGTAGGCCGCGCCTCACCGAGTCCGACCGGGTACGGCGGCGTCTCGAGTCCCGCAAGAAGTACGATGTGCGGCGGGTCTACCTGGGCGAATCGCACGGCCCGTGGGTGGACCTGAGGCAGCGCAGCGGCTGGAGTGACGCGAAGTTGGCCGCATATTTGCTGGAACTGGAAAGAGAGCAGCGGGCCGGGCGCCGCGGGTGAGAGCCGGCTGGCGGGGGTGAGGGAGAGAGAGCCCTTGGTTTCATGAGTAACGGGAGGAGCGAAGGTAGCAACAGAGCCCGTAGAAACTGAAGCAGTTTTCACTTTATGAACCTTGGGAAATAGAATTACCTTGCCTTCTCATTCATATTTGCTTGGAGACAAAACTTAACGATTGCAACATCTGAAGAAATATGCATAAGATTATTTTGTGAGACTGTGCAGTTTGCTAAAGCCCACGCAGGAAGGAAGGACATATTCCCACATGCACTTGACTAGATGACCGCTGCTGACCTCTCTCACAGGAGGTACAGGCGGGATTGAACTCCCAACCCCTTGCTATGCAACCAGACAGTCCAGTCCATTTAGCTGTGCCAGTTCTTTAATATGATGATGACAGAACTGAGAAGTAGGGACTGAGTGTTATCAGAAGGCAATATTAGCATTCTGCTTAACCTCAGCTGGTGGTGTCATGTACTCAGTGAAAGAGAATGGGGCTAAGACTGAGGTAATTTCACGGAAATTATCCTGTGAAAATAGTGAATGGAATCACTGGGAGGCAGCCCTTCTAACACTGATTGGGTCCTGCACTTTCTTAAAGAATAGTAGTAAAAGCCATGGACAGATCTAGATGTTGTAGCATCAACAGGAGTAGTTGCCTATGTTGATCTTGATGCAAAAGTAATCAGCAGTTGTTGTGGGCCATTTGAAAACTACTGTAGATTGTTGTGCATCCAGAAAATTACTGCTGTTTATCCAGGTTGGGAAATGGAGGAGAGGGGAGCTTTGTGGTAGCTTAGTAACAGAGCACATGCTTTTCATGCAACAGGTCTTAGGCCTAATCTGAGGGCTGCATAAAGCTCCTGACTGATATTTCAGAAAGTCAGTACTAATTAGTCCACTGCAGCCTTCTCCAGCCTTATGCTCCCCATATGTTTGGGATTGCAATGCCTATCATGCATACTGCCTGGCTGAGGATAATTGAGGTTAAAAGTTGACACAGATGTAGAGTGCCAAGTCAAAGAAGGCTGGTGTTGAACTAGATCTACGAAAGGTTTGATTTACTATAAGTATATATATTTTGAAACAATAATAATAATTTGCCGTCAAGTCAGTTCCAACTTATGGTGACACTTTTTGGAGTTTTCCAGATAGAGAATACTCAGAAGTGGTTCACCATTGCCTTTTTCTGGAGGCACCCTAAGACTGTGCATGGCCACACTGGCTGGCTATACTTACAGAAGGCACGATGGCAAATTGAATCTCAGCCTCTGGCTTTGCAGCCAGATGCCTAAATAATTGAGCTACAGGTGATTAAAATAGGTAGCTATCTGTTGGAGGTGTTTCCATGCAAAATAGTAACTAATTAACTATGTAAGGCTATTTCACAATGAGATGTAATACATTTTTCACTTTATATGAATTGCATTAATACACCAGTATGGATTCCTTCAGTCATTTGTGCCCATACCAAATAGAGTAACCTATGGTATGATATGTCTTACACAACAAGGAAAATAGTCTGAAAGAAAACAGAAGCACAGACTTAATTAGATGTTGCTTATATGTGTACTTTATTCTGATGTGAGGAATCCTTCAGAAGTCTTCACAGTTCTCTGTGAATTTTAAAAAGTATGAACAACTGTCTACCTGTGTGTGTAGGTAGTAGAAGTTATGTTTTGACGCAAAAAATCAGAAGTTCATGAATTCATATTTTTAATATTTTTATGGTCTCCTCAGATTGCTCATTGCTATAGTAACGTTGCTAGAAGCTTGCCATGATTAGTTTGTTGGCCTAGTAAGAGATATTGTAGAGTAAAAAGGCTGATGTGGCTTGGATCATGCTGGCAGATTTTGGGCAGGATGCTGTTGTGTCTCAGCCTCACTGTAGCTCTCTGTGAATGGGAATCTTAGTGGGTTAGAGAATATCAGCTGTTTATTTTATAACACCTCCTCACATAGAATTAGCTTTCGTTTGGCAAAGAAGGTATTGCATCTGCTCCTAAGAATCTGAAGCATACCATAATATCCCACCATCTTTACTTACAGGAAACCATGGGAACAGATGCCTTATGAGCCTCAGCGGAAGAAAAGTAAGTAAATATATTTGTATTAATGAATCTGGAGAGATTTGTGATGTTAAACTCCCAGACGAAGCAGTGAGCTCTATGCTTCAGTATAGAGCAGTGAAGAATTCACTGGATAAAATCCTTTTGGGTAGATTTATGCTGGTGGAAGCTGATTATGTCATCCAGTAGCACTGGTAATTTTTTATTTAAGTTAATTGGACACTTCCAATCTTCCTGTTTAGTTTCCCTAATGCTCTCTTTTGTCCCAGAAAGCAATGTGCCCTCTCATTTTCAGCTCTGCTGCGTGGGGCTCCACCTCTCAAGTGTGCAACTTTGCCCCTGCATGCACACACAACTCCACCCCCTCATGTGTAGGATTCCTTTTTAGTTTTACCAGTGGCAGCTGATGATGTTATCCACTTCTGCCAGTGTACATTTATGTCTATAGAAGTAAAGAAAGACAATAGACTACTATTCCCCTGAACTGAAAGTTTACACTCCAACACACCTTAACCAGGTTCTGTACGTTTGCAGACTCATCTGGGAATCTCAGTTTACCTACAGATTCTAAAGTTTCAGCACATAGCTAGGATCAATATTTTAACCGTTTTGTCCCCACTTCCCCTTTAGCTCTTCAGTGTTCACCCTCATGAAGAATCCTGAGAGACTTGAAAGCTCACCTATTTTATGGTATTTTAGTACACTAGTCCAATAAAGGTGTTTCCCACCTAGACCAAAATGAATTTTCAGTGAGACAGGGTTTGATAGCAGTTCTACAATTACAGCATACATCTTTTTCAACTCAGCTGGTCTTGTTTCCAATACTAGCATTTGGTCATGTTGTAAACATTCTTGTTGAGCCATGTATTGGTTTGAAAAATTAATTCCCCTTCTATTGTAGATGGTTCAGTATTCTCACATTTATAACAAAATAATCAAGATTTTTGTTAAATCTGATGCAGTTCATATTTCCTGTAAGATTTTGTGTTAGCTGGGACATCTGGAATTTTCAGTGTTCCTACAGTTTCTCTTTTTGTTGAAAAAGAAAGTCCAGAATCGGTGTCAATCTGACACGGGTCGTGATATAATTCCCATTGAGCAGGTAGAACCTGCTCTGCTGAGTTTTGGCCACTGGGGCCTACTTCTGCATGGCCATCTGTAAATTTGCACTGTGAGTTACAATTCTGAACACATTTCCTAGGGAGCAAGCTCTGTTGAACAGAGTAGTTCTCACTTCTGAGCAGATAGATGTAAGATAGCACTGTTGAGTACTGATGTTTGGGACTTGAGAGCTGCACTCTGTTCCATAAAGATCATCGAGGTATTCCTTTGGCTTTGCACACTGCTCCAAGATCGCTAATTTTGCAAAGAAAACTGAGGAGGAGCATGTATTTGCTTGTGTACTTTTTCTGGCAATTTGGAAACAATTCAAAGAAATGCCTCAAAGGGATCCCATAGTTTAATTTTCGGTGATAATGATAGCAGAATGGGTGTAAACTGGTCTTTCAAGTGGATTGTATTGTGGTCCTTTTTGAAAGCTTTCTTGACCTTTGATGGGCTTTCTATTTTTAGTGTCTTTTGCAGCTGTTTTGGTTGAAATGGCTATGTTACTGCCTTTCCTATGTATTAAATGAGTGAAGCTAAGGTGGTTTAAAACGTAGCCTATAAGTGCTATGTTCTGTCGTCAGATGTCTGTTGGTGTGGGCATTACGTCTCATTGGAAGGACCCTTATGTTCTGTGCTTTTCAAGTTCATATTCTTTCTTTCCATCACTCCTCTTTTCCATGTCCCAAGGAAGAAGGCGGAACGTTAACTGCCTGAAGAACACAGTGATCTGGTATGAAGACCATAAGAACCGCTGTCCCTATGAGCCCCACCTGTCAGAGCTGGACCCCACCTTTGGGATGTACATCTCAGCTGTGTGGCAATGTGAAGCAGGGCACCGCTATTTTCAGGACCTCCATTCCCCCCTTAAGCCACTTAGTGACTCTGAGAATGAATGTGAGAATGGTGAGTTTGCAGAGCTCTGATAGGTTTTACAGCTTGCAAGACTTAAATCAGCCTTTTGGAGGTGAAACATGGCAACTGTTCTTACATCTTTTTGTCATTCCATCATATAGATTGGGAATGGCCATATGTTGCCTTTAGGGCCATTTTGTGCCTCTCATATAGGTTTAAAAAATTGATTTTTGGGGTGAAGAATTGTTCAGAAAGTCCCCTTGTATTGTCTAAGGGCTTGAGTCACCACTGAGGTCCCCATGCCCCCAGTTTTTTAAATGGTACTAGAGAGTACAAGAGAACTTTTTCAGTTCAAACCCTTTTTTAAAAATTAAAATCCATTTTTCAGTTAACAAAGAGCCATTGTAAAAGGTTTCACAGTATATGACAATGGATTAAAATAATTTTCAATTGGTGTTAAATGTGGAAATTATTTTCTTTGACCCCAGGCTCTGTGGGAGTAGAGCCTTTGTTGTCAAATCTGGAAGATAGCCCTTGGCCCTGCTGAGATCACATTTGCTTGGTATAGATTGTTGTTTTCTGAAAGATCTCACAGCCACTAGTCCAGTGAGGTCAGTGAAATAAGCTAAGATCTCTCTGAAAATGAATGAATACTAGTTCACATTTTAGGACATCTTTCTGTCTGTGATTATTGTTTCTCAAAACATGAATGGAAAATAAAGGAGAGAAATTTCTAGTTGTTCTGTGAACCCTAGACTCAGTTCAAGATTTAGTGTAGCACTGCTGATTGCTTCATATAGGGTTTTGGGGTGTTAGAATAGCTGGTGTTACTGGAGATGGCTGTGCATCTCCAAATCTTCCAGTAGGAAGACAGATCTCAGGACTGCTTATGCAGTGATTTTTCATCTTCATCTAGTCGTGAGTCTTGGGCACTGCTTGGCTCGAGGGGGCTGACACTGGTGGGGGGGAGGTTGCTATTCTCACGACCACTCGTCCCCCGGGCACTGCTTGGCTCGAGGGGGCTGACACGGGGGGGGGGGAAGGTTGCTATCCTCACAACCACTCGTTCCCCCCACTCCACACTGCCCTCAGAAGGTGCTCTTCGGTAAGGGTGGAAATAGCTGGGATGGGAGACTCTCCCCAGCTCCTTCGTCACCAGCGTGACTGGAGGCAGGCTCGATGCTCGGGAGGCAGAGCATGTCCGGGTACTCGCCTCCCGGCAGGCTCCAATGACACCGGGGTCGGTGCTCCTCACCGCCCTCAGCGGGCCAATGCCACCACTGGTACCTCCAGCTCCGGAACTGGCATCAGCACTGCATTTGAATTTCCCGCAGAGGGCAGTGAGGAGCGCCGACCTGCCCTCGTTGGAGCCTGTCGGGAGGTGAGCAACCAGAGGGAGCCCCCCTGCCATGCTCAGACTCCCCATCTGCCGCCGGCGGCATGCGCTCCCTCACCCCTTCAAGCATGTGCCTGCATGCAGGGGTGGGTGCATAGGTGGGCAGGCACTCCTGTGCATGCGTGAAGCCGTGCGGGAACATGCGCGCGCCATAGGCGCACATGCACTCCCCAACCACTTTGCGCATGCATTGGAGACCACAAGCGCAAGGGGCCGCCCCACCTCCCTCAGAGGCTCCGCCGGTCCGCATTACAAGAAAGGTTGAGGACCCCTGCTATAGACCATCTAGAGTTCTGCCATTGGTGATCCACATTCATAAACTGGAGGGTTTGTTTTCTTTCCTTTTTTTATTTAATAATTGAGTTTCCTAACTTTTTTAAATGGAAGGTTAGATATATACACACAACATTCAAAGTTCAGATTTTGGTTTTGCTGAAACTGACTAATGTAGCTACCTTGCCCTCTCAGGGAGATAATTGGTACAGTATGTCTTGGTGAGGACATTCCAGTCTTAGTTATTCTAGTTATCTTTGAAAACAGTCTCTCTTTCCTAATGGCATTTACAGGAAATGTTGTTCAGGAAGTATCTAGGGACAACTTCTATTCATTTTTCTGTGTGATTCTGGGTGCTAGTGTTTGGAGAGATTACGAGAACAGTATTTGCAATTGTATACTTGTCATGTATGCCCTCTTAGTCTTTTTTGTACTAATTTTTGTCCATGTTTATATTTTTGAGTGTCTGCTATTTTATTGTTCTGGAATGATCATTCAAGTGATTTTCTCTCCATGGGATTCTAAATGTGGCCTCACCCAAGTTTTTAAAATAATAATACTATAATATTTGAAGATACAATTTCAGTTCTTTTCCAAACATTGACTTAGCATTTTCTACTTTTATAGGATTCTGACATTGTGTTTTCAGTGAGGGTGTTTTGGTTTTTTAAAAACTTTGACTGCAAGAAGTATTTTCTGATTAGTTGGTTTGCTCTTTTGATTCTTAGTGCTATAGAAATCAGACCATATGGTACAACATCCAGAATGAATCGTTACTGTATATGTTTACCTCTAAACAGTCTGTACTGAGGAGAGATAGAGCTGGTTGTGCCTTAGTAATCTCCTCTGAATAGGATCCGTTAGTAGTTGGCTGGCCCATTCAGTAGTAACAAGGCATGAGTGTGCATGTACAAAGAAGGGATCTGACCCCCTCATTTTCTGAAATTTACAAGGCTTGTGAGGAGGAGTCTCTTCAAGAAAAAAGGCTGTATGAGGGTAGCTGTTGTTCTCCAGATGTCTTGAGGTAGATAGACTGGAATTCAACAATACTCTTATGTATATTGTTGAATTCCAGACAAAAGTATATGGAGGCTGACACAGAGTTTGTCATGTTTTGTCTGTCAGAAAGGTCCCTGCTACTATTCTCATTTTTTGTTTCCTTTTTTTCAGTTGCCAATGGCACAGCGGCTGGAAGCTCTGGGTCTTCAGAAGAGAGCTCCAGCTCTGAAGCAGAGGAGCGGCAGCCAGAGAGCCAGAAGGCCAAGCAGCAGGCACAGCAGCCCTCGGTGAATGCAGAAGGCGAAAATGCCAGTGGGCTTATCACTCAGGATGGCATTCACATTCCATTTGAGCACCACATTGAGAACCTGACAGCAGAACAGGGGGCTAGCACGTGCCACAATCCACCCCTCGGTGGCCCTGAAACTATGGAAACTGTGGTGTGTGTGCCAGTGCCCATGCAGATGAGTTCTGGCCATGGGACTCTGTTTGAGAATGTTACACAAGAGACGATTGGTGAAGTGGTGGCTAGCTGCCCTGTGCAGGGAGTGGTGCAAGGCTCCCAAGTGATCATCATTGCTGGGCCTGGCTACGATGCCCTTGCAGCTGAGGGAATCCAGCTGAATGTCACCAGCTCAGGGGGAGAGGAGCTGCCTTGTGCAGTGATTGAGGGTGTAGCAGCTTATTCTCAGGCAGAGCCTGAGCATGGACAGTCCAACAACGCAGAGACCACGGAGAGCATGGAATACATTGAAACCAAAAAAGGTAGTTTCTACCCCTCTGGCTGACTATTCTGAAGTGGGCCAGATGTGGCCAGCATTTGGGTTCCTATTTAGATGCCTAGGTTTAGTTCATTGCATTCAGTGTGGTAGAGCCAGCTCCTGCTGTAGATGAGAAAGGGCATGGGGAGTTCTCAGCTGTGAATCTCCAGAACCAACAGAATTACTTTAAACTCTGCACCTTATGCACGTAATCTGTCTTCCGAACAAAATCAGCTTATTCTGTTTTATAATCACAGACAAAATCAGGCTCCTGCAAGAAATAGAACTTCATAGCAGTTCTTTGCTTTTTCTTTCCCATGTTGTGATTCTGTCAAAACAGCCTAACAAAGCAAAGGGGCTTTATGTACCATGCCTTCAGGTACTACCACATGCTCTCAGTGACCTCAAAATGACCAACAATTGCTTATCAGATATTTATGGTAGAGGAAGCAAGGGTTAGGAATCTGCCTGTGGTAAACTTTCTTCCTAGTAAGCCCACCACTATCTAAGACCATTCTTTTAAGATCTAAAATCCACTATCAACTGTGTATTTAGCACACAGAAATTGGAATGAAGGTGTTAGTTTAATATACAGGCCTTTATATTTGATTTCATGTATCAGATTTTGTTTCAGAGGATCATTAAAAGTTCATCAGTGTCTGAAGGAAAGCTTCTAATCAGCTTTACAGATATGTTACTAAAAGTTGTTAGTCTGAGAAGAGTTCAGCTAGAATGCTTGTGTATGTGTTTGTGTTCGCTCCCTGTGCTCTAGAAGAAGAAAAGGAAAAGCAGAAAAACACACACAACTTTTTAAGTGCCTCTTTGCCTTTGTCTTCCTGGGGCCACAACATGACAAAGAGTGACTTTCAAGTTTGTCTTCACAAATGAAGGCTTTTAAAAGAAAATGGAAGTGCAAGCTTCTTTTGGAGTGGCATGTAATGATCGCTCCTGTCTGCTTCCCTCCAATAGGCTTCTTTGAGTTCAGTGCCAAGATTTCAAGGCCAAGCCCAGAAGACTGGCCAGTGAGTTTCTGGCCTGTTTGGGATTGTTCCACCCTTTCTGATTGTGTAGATACAAAAGATTCATGGAGGGAATGCCCTTTTAGATACGTTCTTTAGAACTCCTTGTATATCTCCTTCTAACACCCAACCTTCGGTCCCGCCATCGCACTGGAGCCCTCAGGGGGCAGGGCTTCAGCATTCAGTGTGACAATGTTGTTTTGTGATTGCTGACAGAGAATGAAGAGCTTTTTGAGCTCAAAAAAGAGGAAGCGCAGCCAGCAACAGAAATGGAGATGCCCTGTGACCCAGAGCCAGTCCAGGAGAGTGAGGGGCTGGAAGCAGAGCCTGAACCTGAGGAAGAGACAGAAGGCAACAACATGTCATCCATTATCTATGAGATTCCAAAGGAACCTGAAAAGTGAGTGAGCAGCAGCAAGGGATTCTGGCTGTCTGAGTCTGTGTGTTCAGGAGAAGAGGGTGGAGTGGATTCTGCTCCTCACTTTGCTTGATCTTGTGAGCTAGGTGTGAGAATGAGTTACCTTGTGTGTCAGGATGCTGGAAAATCAGAGTGTTTTCTGCTAGATGGTTGGATCACCTTGATTGTAAGATTTTAGGATACTTGTCTCTAAAGTGTGCTTGTGGAGCATACTGGCAGGTGGAAATGGAAACTGCCTTTGATTTGCCTCTATTTTCAGTTGGGTCTTCTGAGTTGACCTTGGGAACAATGATTGTAGTCTCTGAGCAGACAGTTTCCTACCACCCTTTCTCCCTTTAGGAGGAGGCGGAGCAAAAGAGGCCGCGTGATGGATGCTGATGGCATGTTGGAAATGTTCCATTGTCCCTATGAAGGGTGCACCCAGGTCTATGTAGCACTTAGTAGTTTCCAGGTATAGTACTTCTCTCTTTCATGCTGAGTGCTAAACTGTGTCCCAAATGAGAAAGCTAGCAAGTAGCAGCACTAGTGGTATTCTTTTGCTTGTTAGGGATTGCGGCAGCTGGCCAGTTAGTGTCTGTTTTATTAATTAGTTGTATGTCATCAAGTTTATTCTGACTTATGGAGACTCTTCCCAGAGTTTTCTAGATACGAAATACTCAGAAGTGATTTACTACTTCTGTGGATGGGCTGGGACTATGTAGCTTGCTGACTTGTCTCCTGTGAGACGCCTCTCCTGTGAGACGCTGTGGGGATCCAGTCAGATTCCCCACCTTCACTCCATAGCTGGGGGTTCCAGTTCACTGCATTATCCAGACAGTTTAGTGCCTGTTTTAGTTTAGTTTTATTTCATTTCCAGTATGCAGGCGTCTTAAAACATATATTTAAACATGTTGAACTGTTCTGGTTTAAGGCAGGAGTTGCATTTTTTTGTGATGAAGTGACCAGAGCTTTTCTACAATGAGCCTCCTGGGTGCCAGTTTTGTCCTGTCTCTTTATGTCCCCAGAATCACGTTAACCTTGTTCATCGGAAAGGAAAGACAAAGGTGTGTCCCCATCCAGGCTGTGGCAAAAAGTTCTACTTGTCTAACCATCTCCGGAGACACATGATAATTCACTCAGGTATGGTGCCAGCTATAAAAGATCCTTGGTGTAAATGTTTGTGTCTTGGCTTAGAGTATTCTGATGTACAAATCCCACTCTTGTCTGTCTCACAATCTGGGAAGGAGAGAGGCCCTGATCAGCTTTTCACACTCACTGTATTTCTGTGAGACCAAGGAATTAAAAGGCTTGTGATTATTCTAAGACTTTACTTTCAGGTACACATTAGCCACTAGTGTCAGTCCCAAGTCCCTAGACTGGCAGTGAATTCTGGCAGTAGTTGGGAAAGGGATGTTATCAACATGTGTTTGGCTTGTTGTTGGTTTTTTTTGTGCTAATTATAGGGAAAGGGATGTTATCAACATGTGTTTGGTTTGGGTTTTTTTTTGTGTGTGTGTGTGCTTATTATGCTAGGCCAGTGATGGTGAAGCTTTTTGAGCTTGTGTGCCCAAACTGCAACACAAAATCAACTTATTTGTTTCAAAGTGCCAGCACTGCAGTTAAAACATGAATAATGAGGTTTTAGTTTAGGGAAAAAAACTACTACTCCTGCACTGCAAGGGTTGAATGCTTGGGTCCCCTCCCCATGGGCAATATTAACCAAGAAATACCTGTCCTCCAATCCCCCATTGGACTAGACTGGTAATGGTTGCCAATGCACCCCTCCGCTGGACCACTGCACCAGCAGAGGGGAGTGCCAAAATCTGGGATTGGAGGACAGGTAAGTATTTCTCGATGGTGACTTATGGCTCGCGTGCCCACAGAGAGGGCTCTGTGTGCCAGCTGTGGCACGCGTGCCATAGGTCTGCCATCACTATACTAGGCTGTACAAGGATTTCCCTGTACCTTTACAAATTCCTCTCTACACTTCTTAATGCTTATCTTGCTGCATTTCCCTGTACCTTTACAAATTCCTCTCTCATTCTGAGAGGAGCAGTCTAGACTTCTTAATGCTTATCTTGCTGTTTTCACCGGTGTCTCGCAGGAAGCTAAAGTATGAGGGAAACCATAGATGTGAATTTCCCTTACCTGATACTATGTCTGCAGTATAAATCCAGAAATTTGAACATTTTAAAATACAAATAAAAAGTAACGTTGATATAGTGTGTTAGGAAAAGTTTACCACAGGTAAAAAAAATCACAGCCCAAGCCACTGCAGATAGCCACAGAGATGCAGCTGTGTTTAGGGTGTCAAGGTCCATGGACTGTCAAAGTATAGGATGGCCAAAGGAGAGAAATAACTTCATAAGCCTTTAAAAGGTTGAAAGTGAAGTGGTGTGGGCTAGGAGGCATAGGTTGGAGCCAGAGTGAAGGAAATAAGCAAAGGATATGTCAGCTGTGCAGGCACACCAACAAAGTTTCTTCTTTTGGTGAGACAGATGCATAGAAGATGGCCAGGTTTACAATTTAGAACATGACTTTGAAAAGTTCAGACCAAATGCCATATTACTTTTGAGGGTATATTGAACACTTGATTCCACAGAATGTTCCAGGTTCTTGGGTGGGTTGCATTAATTATTTGCAGTTCATTTTCTTCAGATAGGTGCCTTAGGGGAGGTAAGAGATCTTTAGCCCCCACCATTAGTCTTTGGGACGGATGTCCCTACGTAGAATGGACCCAGGATGTGCTGACGTCTCTTCCCTTTCTTCTTAGGAGTCCGTGAATTTACCTGTGAGACCTGTGGGAAATCCTTCAAGCGGAAGAACCATCTGGAAGTCCATCGCCGCACACACACAGGAGAGACACCTCTCCAGTGAGTGACCTGGACTTGGGGGCATGAATAGAAAGCCTCTGGGCTGAGCCATTCTCTATCATCTGATCATTAGCTTGAGGTCTTTGGCACCTACTGGCTGTTGCCTTCATTGTGAGAGTTGGGAAGCTTGGCAGGATAAATCACAGGGCTGAGCTGGTCTGGTTGTCTTCTTGGGCTTCTGTTATCTGCACAGACTCTTATACAGAGTTCTGAAGCAGGGCTGGCAATCCAGTGAATCTCTTTTTGTAAGAAATTCCATGCTTTAAAATTATCTGAGTTTACCAGATGGCATGTCTGCTCCACCAGGTACTGATGGGAGACAGTAGCTGCTTTATGGTCTCATTGCACCACAAGGGTGCACATGGGGCAGCTCTGAATATACCAGGATAAAAGTAGAGCCTGATAAGGAAGAGATGGAGCATTTCAAGGTGGGTTGGAAATTCCATTGCCAAGAGGAAAAAGACATTAGTGGGCTGGAAGGGGCTGGGGGAAAAAAAAAGCACAACTCTGAATGAACCCGCTCAGTAGTTACTATGGTACCTTTATGCAGATTATATATTTGATAGCATATAATTGCATGCAGAAAAAGTACCGTCAGCACCACTGAGAGGAAAAATAGGGAAATTCTTATAGCTGTTCCATTAATACTGACTCACCTCATAGAAGACAGCACAGCTGGAAGTTGTGGCCCCAGACTTTAGCAGTGAACTGATGTGACAATGTGTGGCCTTTAAACCTGGTTTAGAGCTCAGTGTTAAAACTGCCCTTGGGAATGATAACCTTTGACAGAAAAAGTTGACAATATTATGTGGACAGGACTCCTACCACTGCGTTGGGGGTGGAGCGTAGCAGTTTGTCACATGGTCTAATTTGGATATGGATTCACTAGGCTGTTTGAAAGATGGGTTGTGCTTGGTGATTTGAAAGATGGGTTGTGCTTGGTGATGTCATTTGCTGGGGCTGTGGGGTTTCTGCTGCTGCTGGCTCCTGGAGTGCAGAAGGATGATGGTTGCTTCCCTCGACAGGTGTGAGATCTGTGGCTACCAGTGCCGGCAGCGGGCCTCTCTGAACTGGCATATGAAGAAGCATACCTCAGAAGTACAATACAACTTCACCTGTGAGCACTGTGGCAAACGCTTTGAGAAGCTGGACAGTGTCAAGTTCCATAAACTGAAGAGCCACCCAGATCACAAGGCTGCCTGACTTTGACCATGGACCACTTTATTTATTGCCCTGCAGAAGATCCCAGACCCACTGAGGAGATGCCTTGCACATTCACAGCTGGAGATGTGATGTGTTCTACTGACCACAGAGGGATCCATTGCTCTTGTTAGTGCCACATGGGGCAGCATTTTACAACCAAACGGTGACAAACTTTTAAAAAGATTCCGTTCTGATGTGCAAGTGTCAGTGTTCTCAGGTACTGGGACAGAGGAGTGTTCAAACAACATCAACTCAGCTCATCTTGTAACTGGAGATTGTGGTGCTACAGCTGTCCTGTCTCTCCAGGGTTTGGAGGGAGTGGGGAGAAAGGGATACTGGAACAGTAAGCAAGAAGAATATTAGCCAATTAAACTATCTGTACTTTGCAATCTGTTGACAATCTCCTTTGCTTGTCTCTCTGTCTGAATGCAAGGTAAGGTTCAGTCATAGACCACAAACCATGGGCAGGCTAGTTTCTCTGTGAGAACTCTAGCTCTAGTTCACCTGACCAGTTTGTGCCTGCTGATGACAGTGCAAACTGATGGAGTTTCATATGTTTGCACTCCGTTTCTCAGTCAGTCTCATGAAAAGCTGTGACTTGCAGAACGTAGTTTGAACCAAGATGGGTAAATTGGTTTAAAGCTAGAGAGAAGAAAAGTGGGGAGGAGAGAAGAAAAAGGCAAGATATTGTGGCACTTTGAAGACTAACAAATCTATTTCATTGTAAGCTTTCATCCACTTCTTTAATCACAAAGAGAGCAAATACTACAGTATATCCCAGCAGCCCCCAACCTTTTTGAGACCGCACACCGGCTGAGCCTCTGAGGAAGGTGGGGCAGCCCCCGCACTTGCAAGGGCAAAGCAGGAGCATGTGCCCAACCACCCATGTGCCCGCCCATCCCTTCACACAGGCGCATGCGTGAAGGGGTGGGGGAGCGCTGCCATGTGCATGCGTGCGCAAAGCAGCTGTGGGGAGGGGAGTGTGTGCGGGGCGGCAGGAGGTCCGTCTTCACGGCCCAGTCCGGCTCAGGCCACAGACTTACACAGGGCCGCAGACTGGGGGTTGACGATCTCTGCTGTATCCTGTATTTATCCCTCTGGTGGTGAGAACCATGACCAGGTGAACGTGCAAACAACAGACAAAGTGCTTTGTTAATGCAAGATTAAGACTGTCCCACCATTCATTACTTAAGATTGCAAGTCCCTAGCCAGGATGATAAGCTGAATGTCAAATGGATTTGGTCCTAGCATGGCTGTCACTACCATGGGGATAAATATAGAGGAGATAATATTTGTGCTCTTTGTACCAAAAGAAGTAGATTTTAACCCATGAAAGCTTATACTGAAATATACTTGTTGCTTTACACTTCTAGTATTACAAAAAAGGAAGAGGAGCCCCCCCTTTTCAAAATTTACACCAGTCATGCTCCAGCTCAGCAGCACAGGCAACCTTTCCGTTGTCCTGCAAGAAAAAACAAGCAATACCTTTGACTCTCCTCATCTGCACCTGTTTCCCCCCTGCCCCCATCATCCACGGCTAGCCCCTTTTTTCAGCAAGTGGTCCTCCATCACCAAGGACACTTGGGTGCTTGCTATCATATGTTATGGTTACCTGTTAGAGTTCACGGAGCTTCCTCCTATCAGTCATGTCAGACCCACTGCTTACTCACCTGCCCTAGAGGATGAGATATCTCTTCTTCTCCAATAGCATGCTATTTTGAGAGTACCTCCCCAAGATGTTTTGAACAGATTTTACTCCTGTTATTTCACAGTTCCCAAAAAGGATGGAGGCCTCCGTCCCATCTTGGACCTGCAGTTTCTCAACACATACATTCATCCGAGGCATTTTCGCATGGTCACCCTCGAATCCGTTATCCCACTTCTTTCACCAGGCAACTGGTTCATAGTTGTAGATCTACAGGACACATATTTTCATATTTCGATCCACGAGGACCACTTCAGATATCTCTGGCTTCTTTTCATGGGCACAGCTTACCAATTTTGCACCCTTCAGTCTGTCCAACCGCTCCAAGAACTTTCACAAAGTGTCTGGCCCCTGTAGCTGCTTATCTTCGTCTGCACAAAATTATGGTATTTCCATACATAGATGCTTGGCTTATAGTAGCAGGATCATATGCTGCAGCCAAAAAGGATGCTACCTTTGTGCTGTGGAATCTGGCAGATCTTGGCCTGCAGGTCAATTACAAAAAGTCCCATCTCGAACCATAGCAGATCACAGATTACATCAGAGCACATCTCGATCTGATTACGGCCAGAGTGTTCCCCCCTTCTAAAAGGATACTCGAGTTAAGGCAAGCCATTCACCCTTTTCGCCCTTACGCCACAGTCACTGCTCACCATATGCAGCACCTACTAGATCTAATGGCTTCAACCATGTCTGTGCTCCAGCACGCAAGATTCAAAAAGCAGTCATTACAGGCTTGGTACATGTCCCAGTTCGACCCTCTATTAGATTATCCTTCCAAACGTCCGCTGGTTACTCCAGGGTTAGCTCGTCAACTTACCTAATGGACCTTTGTCCCTCATGTCTTGGTGGGCCACCCATTCAGGGCCCTTCAGTTGACGGTACAAATCACAATGGATGCCAACCCAATAGAATGGGGTGCACACTGTGGTCATCACGAGATTCACACCTTGTGGTCCAGCTTGGAGAGCCTGCTGCATATCCACCACCTGGAGATACTAGCAGTCATCAAGTCCTTCAGAGCCTTCCATTTTCTCATTGCAGGTCGTGGCGTCCAGGTCGCCACAGACAATATGACCACCCTGTATTATAACAGTAAACAAAGTGGCACCCATTCGATGACACTTCTATATTTAACGATTCAGCTGTGGGAATGGTGTTATGATCACCACGTTTTTCCTGTAGTGATTCATGTGTTGACAGAGGACAATGCGGTGGCTGATCGTCTTGAGCCGTCTCACCACCCAAACTCACAAGTGGGCCTTCGACGACTCCATTTTTTCCAGTCTCTGCAGTCGGTGGGGAATGCCGGTTCTCAACATCTTTGCCACTCAAGTCAACTCAAATTGCAGCAAGTACTGCTCTCAGGCAGGAAGAGGCGTCTCTAGGTGACGCCTTCATGGTTTATTGGTACGACACCCTTCTCTACTTCACTCCTATTCCTCTCATCCAATGGATGATAGTCAAGATCCGTCAGCTGCAGGCCAATGCCATCTTAATAGCCCCTCGGTGGCCTCGACTACCATGGTTTACCCATCTCAGAGCCATGGTGTCCGACTTCCTGAGATTACTGCTTCAGCCGTCCCTTCTGACTCAGGACAATGGCTGGCTTTGTCATCCCAACCTGGAATCTCTACACCTTACGGTGTGAAGAATTCTCCCACCATAGTGGAGGTGTTGCATAAGGCTAGGAAGCCTTCTACTGAGTTGTTATATAAATGGAATGCTTTCCTTAAATTTGTTGCTTCATGGCGTTTACTCGCAGTCCCTGTTTGACTGGACACGCTTCTCAAGTTCCTTCATTATCTCTTTGATCAAGGTTAGGTCCACTCAATGTTGAAAATTTATATTTCAGCTATAGTCTCATATCAGCCTGTGGGGGCTGAGGCTTCTCGTTTATTTTCTCATCCTACCCTGAAGAAGTTTCTGAGAGGTTTGCGGAATATGCGCCCACCTATCTGACCTCCACTCCCTCAGTGGTCTCTCCAGGTCGTTCTCTGTGCACTTGCTCGTCCTCTGTTTGAGCCCATGGCTTCTGCACACCTCAAACTTTTTTCCATCAAGACTTTGTTCCTTGTGGTGAAAACCTCTGCACGTCGAGCAAGCGAACTGGCCGCTCTTCGAGTTGATGCCCCTCATATTCAATTTTATCCTGACAAAGTTGTTTTATATCCAGATGTGTCCTTTCTTCCCAAAGTGATTTCTGATTTCCATGTTAATCAACCTCTAATTCTTCCAACGTTATTTCCATCTCCTTTTTCTGATATTGAGCGCATGCTCCATTCCCTTGATGTTTGTTGCACTTTAGCATTTTATATTTCCAGGACTAAGGACTTCTGCACTTCTCCTCTTTGTGTGCTTCCACGGCCCACGTAAGGGTTCTCCTGCCTCTTCACAGACAGTCTCAAGATGGATTGTCTCTGCCATTATGTTGGCTTATCTTATATGGCAGGCAAGATTCTGCCAGATGTGCTAAAATCACACTACAAGAGCTACGGCTACTTCTATGGCCTGGTTGCATGGTATTGAGGTCCCTGACATCTGTTGAGTGGCTACTTGGTCTACACCGTCAACTTTTGTGATGCATTACTGTCTAGACGGCAGGGCTAAGAAGGAAGCAAGTTTTGGTGGGGCTGTGCTGACTTCACGGTTGGCATGACGGCCCTCCTTCCAGTAAGTGAGCTTGCTAGTCACCCATTTGTGTGCATTCACAGAGGCCACGCAGAAGAAAGAGAGGTTACTTACCTGTAACCATAGTTCTTCGAGTGGTCCTCTGTGAATCCACACATCCCGCCCATCCTCCCTGCTGTCTGTCACTTGATGTCTTGAGCTTTGCTACGTTCAGAGCCTTGACAGTAGTGGGCATTTCAGAACTGAGGTATTATGGGCGGGCGGAACATGCATGCCATGGGGCAGCGTCCTACTAATCACATGATTTTAAGCTCTAGAATATTCCAAGGAGTCCTGTGCAGGCGCAGTCTAAACCCATTTGTGTGCATTCACAGAGGCCATGAAGAAGAAAGAGAGATTACTTACTTGTAACCACAGTTCTTTGAGTGGTCCTCTGTGAATCCACACATATGGATTTTAACCCAAGATTCTGTCTAGTCTTGGGTTAAACATGCATGCATGTTTCATGCATTTGCAGCTTTGTTTGAAAAGGCAAGGCCAAGGGATAGTCTGTATGACAAAGGTTTAGAAAATGTAGGAGGGTTGAGAAGGCTCTTGTTGGTTACAGGGCACATCTACCCCTTTTATTCTTTACAGTTAGCATTTTCTGATCCTGATTGTATCAACAGCATTGCTCATTGTTCCCCTCTCTTCCTCTGTTCCCTTCTGTTGCACACTTTACCAGGAAGCAAAACCACAGGCTTTATGAACGTTCTGTATTTTGGATGCAGACTAAATACGATAAAGCAGAAGATGTGTGGAACTTCCTTAATTTACCTGCTTATGTATTATCCCATTTATCTGCGATTGTACTTGGCCACAGCTGGCAGAACCTGTTACCCTGACACCATTATGTTTATGAGGGTGGTACAGTTCCCTTTGGGGAGTGTTTCTTTATGCATAGCGACATCTTTTTGGGCCTCTGCCCGTCAGGTTTCCTCTGCGTAAGATGTCCTCAGCATGGTTTCAGAAGCCTCCCAGAAACAATGCATTTAAGGAAAGGAACATTTATGCTTTTTTCCCAGCAATCTGCTGGATCTAGGCAGGGAGAGAAAGAGATAAAAGAATGGGCCTCAGGAAAATAAAAGGTTCACTGTTCATTTTCTAGATCTAGCACCATTCTTAACCTGCATCATATTCTTCATTGCTTGCAGGTTCTACCAAGAGAACACTGTCATAGCCAAACTGAGTGCTTCTCTTCTGTTGAGTTGTGTCTCTGTTGCTGCAGTCTCCTGGCAAGGAAGCATTAAGCCTCTTTTAGCAGCCAGTAGTTTCCTTTTGTAATTCACATCTGTGG